CGCTCTTCCAGGTTTTTGCCAATGAAGTGAATGCTCATCGGGACCAGATCATCGAGCTAGATCAAACAGGGAACCAGCTGAAATTCCTCAGTCAGAAGCAAGATGTGGTTTTGATAAAGAACCTACTGGTCAGCGTCCAGTCTCGCTGGGAGAAAGTCGTCCAACGCTCTGTAGAGAGGGGCCGAGCACTGGACGATGCTAGAAAACGGGCCAAACAGGTGAGATGCCTAGAAATGGGTGTCATGGACCCAGTCTCCTACAATATGCAGGGCAAGTCTGTGGGAGATCTGGAGAAGAACATGGATGCTGAGTTCTCACTGCTCTCTCCTCTCCTGTCACTGCAGTTCCACGAAGCATGGAAAAAGCTTATTGATTGGCTGGAAGATGCTGAGAATCGCCTGGATTCTGAGCTGGAGATTTCCAATGATCCAGACAAAATCAAGTTGCAGCTCTCCAAGCACAAGGTAGGTTGTTCGAATTGCAGCTGGAATGAAATGGTGCCTCGTAGCTGGAGGGGGTGGGAGTCACTGGAGATGCAATGGAAGTGTCCTGAGGCTACAAAGCACCCTATAACAAAACAGAAGGCCCTACAATCGCATCTCAGGTAGAGAGCTGTGCAAGAGGGCTGTTCATCCCATGCCTGAAGGTTTCCTAAAGATGTTTCCTCCCTTCCCTTCTCTCTTTGTGTGCTCAGGAATTCCAGAAGACACTCGGTGGAAAGCAGCCTGTTTATGACACCACGATCCGGACTGGGAGAGCCCTCAAAGAAAAGGCCCTGTTGCCAGATGACACTCAAAAACTGGACAACTTGCTGGGAGAGGTTCGAGACAAGTGGGATACTGTGTGTGGCAAGTCTGTGGAAAGGTGCGTCTCAAAAGAACGTCCCTCGCCATCGTTTCTGCAGGCAACTTTAGCTACACAATACCGTTATAGAAGTGAGAGAAGAGAGGGGCTAGTCCTGTGGCAGCTGATTTTCTACAGTGTGCTATCAATAGGAGATGATAGAAGCAGAGCGTTGGGAAGAGGGGTGAACAGAAGGATATTTTCCTAATTCGGATACGAGCCGCATTGATGTTTCTGACTTAGAGTTCATGTGCGCTTTGCTGCTTTCTCTTCAGGCAGCACAAGCTGGAAGAAGCCCTGCTCTTCTCTGGCCAGTTCATGGATGCACTGCAGGCCTTGGTCGACTGGCTTTATAAAGTGGAGCCACAATTGGCTGAGGATCAGCCCGTCCATGGTGATCTGGATCTGGTCATGAACTTGATGGATGCCCATAAGGTAGGAATGAAAATTGCCAGCTGTTCTTCAGAGCTGCTGTTCCCCCACAGATAACTGCAAGGCTTATACTAGTATCTCAGTCCAGTGTGCACTACAGAGGTTCATGTCTTACTTACGCAGCTTTGGCTGTAATGCACCTGAGTAAATGCCTGGGAAACCAGCTTGGAAGACCATGCTCTTAGGTCAGGACTGGTTGTTTGGCCTTGGATTTTATCAGAGTTCTCACTTGGGCTTCCCACAGACGTTCAGTTAAAGGCGCAGCGGGGTCCAGTCTCAACAATTGTGCCTCCTGCCATACACTGATCAGCTGAGTCGGGTCTTCCAGTTCTGGGAGCTCACTGGCCACACCTTCGATTTCCAGTGTGATGGGAACCTGCCCCAAAATATGACACGTATTGTGTGTCATCATTTTGTGGCTTATTCCCTGCTCTGTTGCACCATTCGTTGTATGAATGTGTGGCCAGGTTACTACTTAGGACATGATTAACTGGTTAATCGCATCTTAAGTGTGATGTCGGCCAGGAACCTCGGGGGGTTCTGTCCTTGAAAAGCGGCTCAAGTTGGTATCCTTCTCCTGGCATTGCTTTGGGTGCATTCATCACTGTGTTTCAAGTTGGCACTTTTGACTTTGGATCAGGTCTTGTCAAGTCCCAGAGGTGGGCTCAGGCTGGGTTATAAGACTTGCCATCTTTCAGGTCAGAGGTGGAACCAGGGCTGCTCCTAGCAGCCTTTGGAGGTTACCTGTTTGGAACATAAAAGTTCCCATTCTGCTCAAAAAACCAGAAGGGAGTAACCTGCGTCTCCAGGCACACTTTCTCTCCCTTGCACACATTGTAAAGCAAGTGTGGGTGTTCTCAGTTTTCTGTGTTGTGTTGCTCAGGCTGCCTGTGGGATCACATAGCCTGCTGCCTGTGTCATCCGAGTGAGAGTGGACCTGAAACACATGCCCAGCCAGGGTTTATGAAAGCTGCTACGCTTTTTGTGACCAGCTCTCTTTCAAGGAAAATAAAGGGACAAAGCCAGAATCGAGGCATTTTAAATAGGATTTCATTCCAGAAAGCAAACCACTGATTCAGCTGTTTAAACCCCTTGTTATCAGGCTTGAACTGCTTCCAGATCTGTGCTGCTCCTTCCTTCTAGACTCATGAGTCAACTCCTCAGCAGGGGGAGCTGTGCTTGGACTGTTCTCTCTTTCTTTGGCAGGTTTTCCAGAAGGAATTGGGGAAGCGCACGGGCACCGTCCAGGTACTTAAGCGCTCGGGGCGGGAGCTCATTGAGAACAGCCGGGATGACACCACTTGGGTGAAGGTGCAGCTGCAGGAGCTGAGCAATCGCTGGGACACAGTGTGCAAGCTGTCTGTGTCGAAACAAACCCGGCTGGAGCAGGCCTTGAAGCAGGTGAGCAGGAGTCTCCCCTATTCCCTCATGTTTCCAGGGCTTCCTGTGGGATTGTGAACCTATACAAATGAATGGTGAAGTTGTAGCCATAATGAAGCTGGGGGGGTTTTCTGCAGCTCCTTGCGAACATTCATTGTCCTTTGTGGGTGTGTCTGGGACGCTTCCTCCCTGCGCCAAGTGGAGGGCTGTGACCAAGGTCCCTGCTTAACCCTCTGGACATCTCAATTCATTTCCCAGCTCTGACGCTGACAGTCTTGGGAATCTTGGGGGAATCGCTTAATCTCCCCGTTTCCCCCTTCCCCTTTTGTTCCCACTTCTCAGGCAGTGTTGGGAGGATAAGGCAACAGCTGGAGGCTCGTACATGGTAGAGTGCCACAGTCCGTGAATATATCGCAGTAGATCGTTTCACTGACAATGCACAGAGAGTGAAGTGTTTAAATCTGATGGTACAACAGACAACAGTCAGGGCAGTTTAGGGGCTTGCAGGTCTTGGTGTTTCAACAGAGAGTAAGAAGAATTACAGTCTTGATTGGAGAAGCAGAGAGAGAGTGGGCCTCAGTGATGCCCAGGATATGCCAGTTTGGACAGGGTAGTACAGCACTGTGGAGGATAGTATAAATTGTGATCCCTCATTCAAGAAGAGACCGAAATGTAAAACTAGAACAGGCAAACAGGGCTTGAGCTGCTGTATTGATCCAAAGAAGCTGCCAGCATTACCAGCGTGAGCAGAGGTGGGTGATGCTCTTTAAACAGGAGTTTGCTTTTTCAGTGCCGTTAATATACAGAGTGGGGAATAAGCTACTTGGATACTTCCTTCACAGACCATAATGCAAACATAGAGCAAAAGACAGACTTTGCCTTCCTCTGCTCCCCTTAGACATACCTCAGCGCTTCTAGAGCAGCGGATAGAGCACCCGGCTACATCCGTGTCCTACTGACCACATCTTCACCGTTGGAGGGGGTTAACATATTCGGTGTCATTGCAGGCTGAGGAATTCCGGGCCGCAGTGCACATGCTGCTGGAATGGCTGTCTGAGGCCGAACAGACCCTCCGCTTCAGGGGGGCGCTGCCTGACGACACCGAGGCACTGCAGTCGCTCATTGACATACATAAGGTAAATGAGTCTGCTCAGGAGCCTGCGCCGCCCTGAATGATAAGATGCTTCCCAGGAACAAAGGGCAGCAAAAGAGCCCCTTGCTGTGAAGAAGCTGCAGGGGAGGCTCTTTAGCACGAGTTTTCAGAAATAATCGATGGGAAGCACATTAAATAGTGGTCTCCCGGGTTGGGAAACTGGATTGGCCTGGCTTGTAATACAAGGTGCCAGTCGGTAAGGGAAATTACCTGGGATGCAACAACGCTTCAGGGCAAATAGCCGTACCATAGACCCCCCGCAAGGTTTAGATGGAGAGCTTCAAAGCTGAGGGCTAAGGGGCTGGAGTTTGGCTGCGGGTTCTCACCCCAAGGGAACCCTGTCCTTCAGGAGTTCATGAAGAAAGTGGAGGAGAAACGAACAGATGTGAACGCGGCCGTGGGCATGGGGGAAGTCATTCTGGCTGCCTGCCACCCGGACTGCATCACCACGATTAAACACTGGATCACAATCATCCGAGCCCGGTTCGAGGAGGTGAGTCACGGAGGGCCTGGGGTATGTGGGTGGAGAGGGAGGGGCCCTCTGGCCACTGATGGGAAACAGGGCCAGGGCCAGAATTAGTGTACAGCGTCATCTTGGAAGCAGCAAGGTTTGTTAACCTAAAATAAAAAATGTCCTAGTCCTGTCTGCTTCGGTGAGCTCTCATGAGACACCAGACATCAGCCATTGGCCCAGGATGGGGGTGGATGCCCTGTCCCAAGGGCACCCAGCTTGGCTTCTCTCTAGGGGAGACTAGCAAAGAATGTCCCTTTGCTTTCCCTTGTCACGTTGGCGTTTCTGTTAGGTCCTCACGTGGGCGAAGCAGCACCAGCAGAGGCTTGAGTCTGCACTGTCAGAGCTGGTAGCCAACGCTGAACTCCTGGAGGAGCTCCTGGCCTGGATTCAGTGGGCCGAGACCACGTTGATCCAGCGGGACCAGGAACCCGTGCCGCAGAATATCGAGCAGGTCAAAGCCCTCATCTCTGAGCACCAGGTAACGCCTTCTCTGCTATCTGCTTTCTTTCTTCCCTGCCTTGCTGCTGGGGTGCAGATTGAGTGTGTGACAGGGGTTGACACAGTTTGATGTGGTATAACCACCCCTGCTCTTCTGAGGAGGAGAATTTACTTTTATGATATCATATCATAAAATATGATTAGTTAGGGCGGCTAGGAGCTGGAACCAACTTCCAAGGGAGGTGGTGCTGGCCCCTACCCTGGGGATCTTTAAGAAGAGGCTGGATACTTACCTGGCTGGACTCATTTGAGTCCCGTTTTTGTTTTTAGGGTGTGTGTTTTTTTTGGGTTGTTCTCCCGCCCTGGCGGGGGGTCGGGCTAGAAGATCTATTAGGTCCCTTCCGACCCTGAAACTATGAAACTATATAAACCACGTCAGTCATCTGGACTTGTTGCTTGCAAGCCAGGCGAGGAACTGTTCCACCCAGCCCAGGAAGCAGAACATCAGGACAGGAAATCAGAGCCATGGCTATAGAATAGCTTTCCCACAAAGCCACATGGCAACTATACCCAAATGCCTGCTGTGGTCTGGGAGTTTCTAGGCAAGGATCTAGAGGGACAACAGCCTTGGGTAGAGGAAATTATGGGAAATGTTACAATTCTTCTCTCCCTTTTGCCATTCAACAGCTGTTTATGGAGGAGATGACGCGAAAACAGCCTGATGTGGACCGGGTCACTAAGACCTATAAGAGGAAAGCCACTGAGCCGACCCACGGACCTTTCATTGAGAAATCCCGTAGCAACAGTATGTTCACAACTTATTGTTCTTTACATCCTGCCCTGGAATGAATTGGGGGCCTGGGGGGAGGACTGCAGAGAAAACCTAATTAGGCTGGCTCCAATTCTCAATTAGAAATGCACCTTGCTTTGACAGCCACCTGCAAACAGGGCTGACAATTGCCAGGGGAATTGCAGAGAAAACAGGGATGGTATTTGTATTAGTAGAAGACATATGCCAAAAACCTTATTATGCTCTGCCTTTCCATCATTCAAAGACTTCTACAGGCTCTGGTTGGGTTTACTTCAGTTTCCGCATACTTCCAAGCTGCTGGGAAGGTCACGCAACATTTGACTTGGTGATTCGCAGTCAGGGTGCCACATCCCCCAGGGGTGCCGTGAGATCCTTTTCAAGGTGCTGTGCAGTATTGGCACGGTTAGGTGTGCAAACAGCTACACACGATTCACAAGATAAACCCAGCAATTTCAAATAGGAGTTCAGTGCATTAAATGCATTCTGCTTTTTTGTGGGCTTTCTGAGCTCTTTGCAACAGAAAAATAGCTCTGTTATTTTTCTGTAGTCAGAAAATAAGTGTAAGCTAAGAGCTGGCATTTTCTGTGGGAAGCCTTAAGGCTAAAAAACATGGACAACCACCGCTTGTTCTAGTTGATCTAGGATGCTGTTTTCTTCGTGTGCGATTCTGGGAGCAGAAGGGTCAGGTTAAGTCTAATGGAGGGGGGAAATTGGAAAAATGTGGGTCCCGGGAATAGACTGCAGAGATATCAGGCAACATTTCCCAGTCCCATATTTTCCTTTTAAAAACTGACAGCAAAGGATGCTGGGACATTTCTCTTTAACAAAAAGGAGGGTGTCTCTTTTTTCCCCTGGACTTTCCAACCCCCCCATTATCCCCAGTGGCGTGTGTTTCTCTCTGCAGGGAAGTCCTTGAGCCAGACAGCGCCTCCCACCATGCCCATCATCTCCCAGTCGGAAACGAAGAACCCACGGATTAACCAGCTCTCCGCGCGCTGGCAGCAGGTGTGGCTGCTGGCCCTGGAGCGGCAGCGCAGACTCAATGATGCTCTCGATAGACTGGAGGAGGTAACGGCCGTGCAGGGTAGAGGGTTGCGAGGAGGGGGTGGGAGCGGAGAGGGAACTGCCTCGTCGCTGCACTACCAGGAAAGGTGGGGAGAGCACGTCGCACTAACGCCAATTGAAACCACCTTGTGTGTATCGCAGGTCGCGACCAGTACGTTCCTAAAAGTGCCCACGAGAAAACCCTCTGCTAAAATAGTAAGGCCTCCTGGAAGCCTCCTGTCCTTGTCGCGGCAGGTTAACCTGCCTGCTTTGCGCTATGGGAGTCGATCCCTCTGTAGCTAATGAAAGCCAGCCCTGCTTTGATGTAGTTATAATCCGTTTAACAATGACAGTACTGCTGTGTATATCTATATATCTTTTTTTTTCAGAAACCTCTAATGTCATTTTTGTTTTTGTTTATGCTTAACAAAGCAGCTATGCCCAGAAGTGAGTGCTTTTGTTTTTTGTGGCTTTTCCTGTAGGTCAGTTCCATTGACGCGTTTGAATGTTTTCCTTTGTTACTTTGAACTCCGAGCGTTTTTTGGGGTTTTTTTAAAACTGAAAACACTAACAAGCTGTTGCTTTGGGTCACTCTGAGCCCCTTGAGGCTGACAGAGGTGTGAGGCATCTCCTAAATGCGCAGGCCTCAGCTGGGTTAAACAGGCAATCGTCTTGTGAATGGTGATTTGCATCAAGGGTTGTCTCTCGGCGCCGCCATTCCAGAGACCTGAGCCTCAGAGAGTCCTTGGGGCTCACTGTGCAAGTTAGGGAAGTGGCGATGGATCGTAGAGGTGCTTGGGTGAGGAGAACGAAGGTTGCCTTGGCTGCATAGCCTGTTGGTCGATTCACCAAGCAACGTTATGATCCATCTCAAAGGAGGGACCACTTTCCTTTCTGGACAAACACAAAAGAGCTCTGTTTGCAGCTGCTCTGTTCTCGGCAAGGTAAAACTACCAGGCATCCAGAGAGGGGAAGGAACAGGAGCCCTGAAAACAAAGGATCAGGGACATCGTTAGGACAGTTGGGGTCAAAGAAAGCTATCTTCTTTGATGCGTGCAAAGAGGCTATTTGTGTGTCTGTCTGCAAGCCTATCCTCTATCCGCATACATGTGCGTGAAACAAGCGTGGAGAACACGTGACTTTCTCGTGTCTATGACTGTGATGTATGCTTCACATGGTGGCTGTCAGAAACCGTGTGTCCTGTTCTGTTATGAAAAGTCGGGGTCATGGCCACATCCTGAAGAGGAGTGTCCCCGCTCTGCCTTTTTGCAGAGTGTTGCTTTCAAGAGGTGCGTGGCAGTCAGGCCTCTGGAAGCACTGTCCATTCATGGCTGAAAGCTTAACGTGTATAGAGCAGGGAGAAGGTTCTGCCAGTCCTTCCAGCTCAGACTCGAAATGGTTTCCTTCCAGTTGAAGGAGTTTGCTAACTTTGACTTCGACGTCTGGAGAAAGAAATACATGCGCTGGATGAACCACAAGAAATCCCGGGTGATGGACTTCTTCCGGCGCATTGACAAAGACCAGGATGGAAAGATCACCCGGCAGGAATTCATCGATGGAATCCTTGCTTCTAGTAAGTCTTTATCCATCTTAGCTCGCTTGCCACAAGGTACAGTAAACCCCATATTAGAAAAATCTCATTAAGTGCCACCACATATGAGGGGCGTTTAGTATCTCTCAGGGACAGAGAGCTGTGAAGTGATGGCATAGCAACCTACCGTGGGTGTTAGCTGTCATTGCCTCATGCTATCTTTGCTTCTCATTACTTGTGGCCTCAAAATCAACATGGTACTTTGCAGCATGGTTCCTCTCCTGTGATGACTGTTTTGATGGAGGCTACACATCAGGAAGAATGTGTGATGCAGGGTAGAGCATGTGTGCTGTTTCCACCAAATTGTGGGAAGAGAGACAAGGACTTACCTATTTCTAATTGCACCTCCGTGTTTCTTGTTTCTGTTCCAGAATTTCCCACCACAAAGCTGGAGATGACGGCAGTGGCTGACATCTTTGACCGCGATGGGGATGGCTATATTGATTACTACGAGTTTGTGGCTGCTCTCCATCCTAACAAAGATGCTTACCGACCCACCACAGATGCAGACAAAATTGAAGATGAGGTAAAGGAGTGAGAGAGTGCAGACAGGTTTTAATAACATCTCAAGTACATGTCCAAAGAGCAGGCAGAAAGCTGCCTTATGAGCACCCGGAGAATCCTAGCGGCACCGATCCAAAATCAGGAGTCAAGTATTTCAGACCTTTTTAGAGTGAAGCTGGTTATGAGCCACATTCATTCCAAGTACTGCTTTATGCCTATAACTGGTGATAGTCAGCATGTCCCTTGCAAGAGAGACAGTTGCTAGTTTCTCACCTTTCTCTTTCTGGTTTATAACAGGTCACAAGGCAGGTGGCCCAGTGCAAGTGTGCAAAGAGGTTTCAGGTGGAGCAGATTGGAGAGAACAAGTATCGGGTAAGGGCAACAATGCTGCATGTTCCACAACAGCACAAATGTGCCTGGTTTCTAGGCTGTGTTTGATCAGAGCAGAGAGGGGAGTTAGCATTTCTTTCCTGCCTGGATGAAGCCAGCTAGCTGGTTCTTGCATTAGTGAGTCTCCATTTTTTTGAAAGGTTGAGTCAAGACTCTCATTGATGCCAGTTCCTTGCCTTCAAAAATGCTGAATGTAGATACTGGGTATCCAAAAGCCTGAGCCATGTGCCTTGCTTGCCTAATTCTGTGTTCCCTGAGTTGCTGTGACAGTCTTAACTCTTGGCACCAGAGGTTTTGGGGCAAACTGCAGCAGTGTCCCATTAATGGAGCCCCTGGCTAAGTGGGTCGTATTCACCGCTGCATGGGGACATCTGCAGACTGTTCCCGTGTCGTGAGAATATAGTGGAGACAACAGTTATAGATGCCCCGTGGTAATTTGCCCTTTTGTAAAAGACAGCAGAGGCGATTAAGCAGGTCCATCTGGTGCGTTAAGGCTCGGATGTGCCTAATTACAGAAGTGCAAGGACAATATGGATGTGGCACTGTTCCAAAGGAGCTGGACCTATTCACCATGAGACTGGCTGTATTTGCTATAGGCAGAAACAGCCGGAAAGTTTCCTTGTATTTGAGGGTAGCTTGCACCCATGGTTTTTATGGCCCACTTCTAAGAGGGGATAAGAATCGTCCTGCGTTTCGCATTTGTTTCAAATCGTTCCCTGGTTCAGACTTCTGAAAGGGACTCGCAGCGTATCACTGTGGTGCTCTGCCTTCCTTTAAGGGTTAGGCCTTTGGAGCTAAAATTAAAAGTTAAAGCACCTTCAGGTACCTTCCATCCTCTTTCACTCATCTGTGAATTTGGCTGTGAAGAGTCACAGCCAGTACTTGGGGAACAGCAAAAGGTGGGTCGTGATATGAGATAGCGTGATGCGTGCAGGTCTGGAGCTGCCTGTGGTTAAAGTTTCGTGAGTATTACGTTTGTTAATCCTATAAATGTTCTCTTGTTTTTCTCCCTTCTCTCTTCTCTCCCTCTTGATGCTTCCCCCACCCACATTCTTTCTCTACATAGTTCTTCCTCGGCAATCAGGTACAGTGTGCCTTTTGATGCTGTCTCTCCATTCTTCTTGATAAACATGGCTTGTGTGCGTCTGCAATCCCAGTCCCTCCTTCATTGCTGTGAGAGGACGTGATCCATTGAGTGCTGTGTTAGAGAGCTTGGTACGCTCAGCAGAGCCTGGTATACAGCGGGGTGTTTGGCTGAGAACAAGGGGCCAAATTACGTAGAGTCCAGTTGAAAATCTGCAGTCGACAAAATGCAGCATGTCTCTCCACGTGGCTTCTCTCCCTGGTGCCCCAGTGGCATTGGAGACTGGCAACATTCCTGGAAGAGGAAAGAAAAAAGTCCCATGCCCTCACCAGGAGCTGGGGGTGCCCAGTACTGCGGTTGATGCTACCTCTCTCTTTCGAGAGGGAAATCATTATGCCCCTTACTAAAATAAAGGGGCTGAAACCTTCTGTAAATGGACTGTATACCAGGATCTGGATGGGTTGAATATATTGCAGTCACCATGGAATGAGAATGCTGAATCCACTTGGTTAATCACTTGGGTAACTATAACTAAACCCTCATCACTGCTACTTGGAGCAAGTAACTCATTACTGGAACAAGGCTCATTTAAAAAAAAAAAATGTGCATGTATTTGCTATTCCATTCTGGCGTGAGATGAGCACTGCTGTGTCTGAAGGCTGACTAGCACAGGAGAGCTCCAGTGTTATGTGAGGGGGGTGACGTTTTGTTAAAAGCTGCCTTTGGACAGGGAAGGGAGTTTTTAAGTGGTGGATGCTAAATCTGGAAGAGAATCTGAATGTCTCGCGTGGAAGAAAGGCTAGAATCTAGCTCCCTTTGTTTTAGACATGCGGCTAGAGATAAATCCATCAAGCTGTGACTTAGCTGTGAGGCTCCTATCAAAGACTCTCTCCTTTTTATGGTAGACATTTTAATTCAATGTGGCAAACCTGGATTAAACGAGATATGCTGCCGATGTTTTGAAGATGGAGAACTAGATGCTCCATCATGCTGTGGTAATGCCAAAGAACAGGTCAGTCCGGAGCAGGGTTTTCCGAGCATGGGGAGATGCCCTGTAGATTTGAAGGTAACAGGTGTTCGTAGCCAACAGTGTCCTCTCCTTCAGGGAGCCTGGGGACCCTCTTGTGATTCTAGCTGGTTGGTGCAGCACAGGTGCAGGGAAAGGACTGTCCCAGGGAAAGTGTGTGACCCACTGCCCCAGGGGCACCCAGGCACCGCTGAAGTGTCCCTTGGAAACTTTTGAAACTGAAACCTGTCATCTCCAAAGCCAGGCAGCCTCCTGTCCTGCCGGCTTATTGTGGGGTCCTAGGGTATGTCCAGGCCAGAGGTGAGCATGGGTGCTCTAAGCTTGCCTAGGTGTGTCTTAGTGCAGTCCATATCAGCATCCCTGAACTAACTCCTGACTAGCTAGCGCAGGTCCTGCGGAGCTCCGTGTGGGCCAGCGGCCTGTGTATATACGCAGGCAGGCTTTGCAGCTGTGCTGCACTAGAGACACTGCTGGTAGTGCCTGCGCTAGCTGGTTTAAAACTAGTTTGGGCAAGTCTCTGCGAACTACCAGAAAGTCAGACCTTCAGCTGGGGAGTGCCACGAGGAGCAATCCCTTATGAAAGACTGCTGCCTGCAGCTATGGGCTGAACAAGAACCCTTAGAGGGAAGGATGCCCGTGGCCCAGGTGCCGTGCTGCCTCCGGTTGCCTCTCCTTGCAGAAATCGGGCAAAGTGTGTTGTGAACACCCCCGTATTTCTCACCTCCTCTCAGTTGCCTCCTCACAGTTTTACTCCGTGTAATATTAGATGCATGGAGTAGTTCTGCCCAAGTTCCCCTTCTTACTCCTTGTTTTCTTACATCTGCGCTCGGTTTCCTGGGATTTTTAACCCCTTACTTGCAAGGGAAAATAAAGCTACCACTTTTGTAATCCTGTGAGGTCACAAGGTGCCTTGTCTTTCCAAGGGGATCAATCCCACCCCCTCCATTTTACCTGAGATCATAAGCTCTTATGGCTTGGCAGTCTCTCTGTAGCTCATTGTTATACCCTTCTGTGGTAGGCTTTGGGCTCTTCCCAAAGGAAGTCATGCCTCACAGTGTAACAGCATATGCTTAGGAGAGAGGGCTCTGCAGAGAGGCATATGCGTGATAGGGGACGTCTGGTTTTGGTGACAGGCCTGGAGCTCGGGGTGATGGCATTTTGATTTGGGGCACGGGGGACAATGGTCTGAAATCACACAAGCGCTTACGAGCATCTTACTCACTAATGCACCTTCTGATACTTGCAGCAGAGATCTCTGTTATAAATTCACTGCACACATCTTCACTGGGGATGCACTTGGGACCATTCCTGCGTGGGTATCTTTCTTGCGGAGACTCGGTGAAGTAATTGGGCGCCAGACTTAATCAGAGGCTTCCCTCTCTGCGGGGACGCGGCATTGCTGGCATTTCCTGTACCAGCCTTCAGTGACGCGCACATTGTGATCATCTGCCCTGTTCCAATGCCAACAGCATCAGGAATGTCAGTGTGTTCAGCCTCTTCACTTTCACCACAGAGCGAAAGGCAGAGCAAAGCCTTGTTCTCCTTAATAAAAACTCACTGAAGAACAAAACTCCAGGCTCCAGTTTGCTGCCTGCCTGTTCTCTGATCCACAGCTGGATTTTGGTGCCCTTCTGGCATTAGCCTTGGAGAATGTTGCTGCTTACATTGCCCCATGGCTCTGTAGAAGGAAAATCCCCATAAATTGACTCCCAGGGGGATTTCTCCCCAAGTAACTTGTAACTTCATACATTTTGGAGGAGCCCTACAATAATAGTAACTTGAAAACTGTTGAGGGCGGCAGACAGGGACTGTAACGTACGCCTAATCCTGATGCAGTCCGTGCTGGAAAGGAGCAGTGGCTCAGTCAAATCCCTGTGTCCTGAACTGTTTCTCTGTTGTTCTGCAGTTTGGTGATTCCCAGCAGCTGCGGCTGGTTCGTATTCTGCGTAGTACTGTCATGGTTCGAGTCGGTGGCGGATGGATGGCTTTGGATGAGTTTTTAGTGAAAAATGACCCTTGCAGAGGTAAGAAGATGCCTGGGGAGAGAGGGGGGGCTTTGATGAGAGTGTTGGGGATGGGGAGGTGTCGGTAAAAATGTCTTTCAAAGTTTTCCCGTCTCTTGCTGTGAGTTTATGCGATTACTGGAAACCTGTCATAGCCATTATAACTAGGAGGCTGCCAGCTGTCGTTAGCTGAAGATGACTCCTCAGTTGGATTGCACAGGTAGAGGTGGGATGTGGAGAAATCAAGGTTTGAAAAATAAATAAGATGAAACTTTTCAGTGCTGCCACATTTTGGACTCTCATCATGGCTTGGACCGGACGCTGCTTGGTTGTTTTCTGAGGGCCCCAGCCCTTGGAGTTATGCGGATATGTGAAGAGCTCAGCTTTCAGTTTAAAAAAAAAAAAAAAAATGTAAAAAACCAGGAAAGTTTGTACGTAGTCCTTATGTTTGTGGGGAAGGGTTTTAAACCCATGCCTGTAAGTGCATCCTTAATGTTCATACCCAGAAAGCAAAGACCAAAGAACCCACAAGGCCTTGTGTCTGTGAAATCACTTGATTGGGGAGGAATCTGACTCAACAGCTTTTGAATGTGTAGGGTTCGCAGACAGCATTTGGCGTCTCAGTGGGCAAAACCACGTCTCAGGCAGCAAGGACTGGAAATGAGTTCCAGCAACTAAAAAGACTGCAGTAAATAAAAAAAAAAAAAAAAAAGCTTATTTTCTTAAAAATGGCTTTTTTGTAATACAGATTGGTTCAGAGCACTGACTCCACACACAGAAATGCTTTGTTTTTGCCACCCTGCGCTGTTATACTGTGGATCCTCAAGACGTGTCTGTAGCGAGATGTCTACCAATGCGGTGCTTATCCTCCTGGTCCTGTAAAACCTCCTTTCCACGTGTTTGTGACGGCTGAAAGCCACTGTCTTACGTGGCTTTCCCTTCAGGTCAATGTTGTATGTCAGCGTTAGCAGAACTTCAGCCTTCATGGACTTGTGTAGCATGAATTTGGGTTTTAATACCCAGCATTAACCAACGTTGCAGTAACAAGCCCCGTGTTGCATAGACGAATGGCCAGCTGGTTAGGGACGGCTAATCCCGGTGGGTCCCACTCCATACTAATGGGGCCAGAACCAAGCAAGCGAAGTGAGTCGCAGTGACTGGCCAGAAGGAGCATCATTGAGGGAGGGCCTGGTGGGTGTGCGTGGTTGTGGAGGTGATGGTGCTGTTCCCAGAAGCCCTGCTCATGAAGCCGGTCCCATAGTTGCAGGTGATTTTGCCTTCCTCCCTCTGTCCTCCGCAGGCCGGCGCTGCACGGGGGTGGAAAGCTGCCTTCTTGCCCGTCTTTCATGACCAGTCTTTGCCTTTGCCTGCTCTCTGTGTTCCTTGTCTGTGTATTTCTCTTTATTCCAGTTCACCACCCTGGAAGTAAGATAAAGCGCTCTGACTCCAGCTCCTCGATTGCCAGTCAGTCTCCGATAGGTTGGCCTTTTTCTGCTTTGCCACTTTGCCCAGCAGCCCTCTCCTGCCGTCGAGAATGGCTTTGCTTTCTGCCCAGTCTCAACCTCCACCCCTGTGCCCCCACTTCCCCCCCACCTGCCACCTGCTGCCTCTGGGAACGCTGTGGCAAGGCGGGGCTGCAGCTTTCATGACAGCTGGTACTGTATTTTGTTTGAATGTCTTCAGCCCTTATGGCTTGGTGGGTCTTGTATGGGGCTGACGATCGCACCTGCCACATAGCGTGCTGTGATAGGGAGGTATGAGCTCAGCTTTGGATCCAGAAGTCTTTGCTCTCTTGATCTGAGGTGCTGAAGTGGATCTCCATCACCATAGTATCTGGGTGATGCACCTTCATCCTCATGCTGTAGCTGCGCTTGGTTGTGGAGGGGGGGATTTTATTTGCAGTTCAAAGATACAGACATAAGGCCAAGAGTGACCAAGTGACTTGCCCACTCGGTCATTTGGGGAATCTGTGTTAGAGCAAAGTGAACCCCCAGATCTTCCCAGACCCAGGTCAGTCTCCGGCCAGGAAAGTGTCCTCATCTCCTACTCCCTTACCTAGCTTAGGCCCAGGAATTTGGTTTCAGGAGAGAGTTGATTCTAATAGAAACATTTGAAGATAAAGTCAGGAACTTCCTTTTCTTTTCCGCCTACAGAAGTGACTAGAGAGTTCGGAGCAGTGGTTTGTCTCGAGTTTCAGAAATGTCTGTATTTGAAATGTCTCCTGGGTGGATTGTAATGCTTGTCCTTGGATCCTGTTAACTTCCCAGTCCCTTCCTGTAATGCCTGATAAAGCAAGTCCATTTGGGTTTGAGGTGTGATCTTCAATTGTTTGGGATGGAGACAGTGAGCCCAATTCCCTCAGTTTGCAAATGTTTCCATTTATAAAATGTGCAGAGGAGAAGTTTCCTGACAAGGTCTTGCCTGTTGCTCCTTCCTGATGGTTTCTAGAAAGACCGCCCTCCATAGCACATGACGGTGAAGCATTTGGGCTGCTCCATTGGTTTTTGTCTTCTGGAGTGTAGGTGTCCTGGGATACATAGCTAAACCTTGCATCATGCTGCCTGCCAGCAGCAGGGCACTGTGGTGCTCTCATCCCCCCTGTCATTCCCCTAGCACTGGGTAGGATTACTTTTACAGGCTCCGTTGCAGCTGTGGGTTGAGAAGTGTTGGAGCCAGGTGTTCTTGCAGATCCCTTTGGACAAGTGCCTGCCTGGGAAAGCAGAAGGCAGGCCATGATGCTCCTGTGTTGCAGTAGGAGTTTTGGAAACACTTCATGCCTGTGTGTGTAGTGTTTGCAGGCCATGCCAGGGGCAATAAATGCCCCTTCAAGACAGACACCAGACTGTATAGCTGTTCAGCCAGGTCTTTATAGGGGAGGATGTGAGTAAACTAGAGCCTATTTCTTCTCCTTGTGCTCTTTGCCCCTGGCCGTTGCATCATGTTGGTGTTCTGTGATGCAAGTGGAGGGTGCCTCCGTGTCTGCTAAAGGATCTCCCCCTGCTTTGTTTCCTGCTTCGTGCTTTCAGATGTCACAGCCAATGTTTGATGTCTGTGGAGCAGCATGGGAAGCCACATCAAAAGAGAGTAAGCCAGGCCCAGCTTTCAGTGCAGTAAGGCAGCACAGGGAAAGCCCTGGGGCCCTTGGTGCTGTGGTTATAGTGTAGCTAAGACTAGGGCAGTGTCCATTCCACTCTGCGCTGCCTGTGCAGCTCCATGCGTGCTGGCTTTAAAAAGATGGCAACAAGATGGAAGGAAAAGAGAAGCAGAGAACATGGGAAGGGAAGAAGCACAATCCTGTGGCTTCCCTCGAGAGCTGTCTAGCTGAGGGTGGGAGCAGCCAGGTATGTTGGAGGTAAATGTAGCAGAGAATTGGCTAGGGGACAGCAGCCAGGAAGAGCCGTGTAAAGGAACGTGCGAAACGCCCACAGTCCCCGGCACTAGAACACGCCGTTCTCTTCTGGGGAGACGGAGACTGATGCGTGGTGTGGAGCCGAGGGCTCCGCCAGGGACTGCTTCTAGCCCACACTGGTTGGAGGCAGAGTGAAGGCAACACAAGGACCCCACTCACAGGGAGACCAAAGGGAATGTATAGCAAAGTTGGTGGGAGCTCCAGCCTGGCCCCACCTGGGTGGAAGGGAAAACCCCAGAGGTATTGCAAGAATTGCTGCTCTCTGCAGTCCACAGCTGATTGTCAAGAGGTCCGGTCAAACCAATGTCCATCTGTCCCTCCACCTCCCTGCAGGGTCTTTGAGATATTAATCGCTTTGAGTCTGTCTTGGGAAGTTGATGCTTAATTGTTCTTTGCTTCTGGTGTCCGAGGGATGGTTGCTGACCTCAGCATGATTTACCAGCCATGCTGCTTGCCTGTTTTAACCTCTGGGATTATTAGCACACCTCTGCTCTTTGCCCTGTCCTGTAAATGCTTTGCAGCCACCACTTGTGAGTGCGGACACCCAGGATTCCCTCCACACACCGCTTCAACTCCACAATCGCTTCTCTGGCTTCCTGGTTTGTAAAGCATCGAGTCCAAAATAACTCCTTTGTCCTGGAGGGCTTTGTGCATGGCCTTGCTCCTCCCTTCTTTGTGAGCCCCGGCGGGTAGGGGGATACCGGCAGCCGCTGATCTTTATTGCATTTCACATCCGCACAACCTGTGGGTGCCTCATGCCTTCCTTCTAGGGGGAAATGGAGACCCTGCAGCTTGTGGAGCTTTGGGATCCAAAATTGTCCTCTGCCCTGTGACTGCTCTCTGGTATCTTGGGAAGATTGGGTGCTGGGTGCCAGAGCAGGTTTCATAGGTGTTTTCTTTGGTGCTTTGAAACTGGCTTATGAGTGTCATCACCTGCTGTGCTAATGTTAACTGGGTTTGGTAAATAAAGACCCCCCTACCCCCACCCCAGCTCCTGGGGCTCAAGTGAAAGGCACAATAGAATAAGCAAAATGGGGCTGTTTGAACTCGGGGACCTCCAGCATTCATCGGAGGCTGACCTGTGAAGTCACCTTGTTGCAGCAGAGTGAGAGTGGTGGCAGTTTTGCTCTGCTATGGCAGGGGTGACGGCGAGGAATCCTTCATGGCTCCAAGGTGAAGAGTCGCATCCGAGCATTGTCTGGCCTTTCTGCCTGGCTTCCCCGAGATAAGCGCAACTCAGGCGAAACCCTTTGGGGTGCACCTTTCCCAGGGCATTTATTGTCCTTGCTCTCTTCCTTTCAGCACGAGGAAGGACCAACCTCGAGCTTCGAGAGAAGTTCATCTTGCCAGAGGGAGCTTCTCAAGGGATGACGCCTTTCCGGTCCCGGGGACGGAGATCCAAGCCATCTTCCCGAGCAGCCTCTCCCACGCGATCCAGCTCCAGCGCCAGCCAGAGCAACCACAGCTGCACTTCTATGCCGTCCTCTCCAGCAACACCTGCTAGCGGAGCTAAGGTAGGGCTCCTACTCCACGCCGCTCTTTAGCTTTGCTTTCCCTTAGACAACAGACCCGCTGCTCCACTGCTCAAAACCCACTCCAGGGACCAAAGGGGCTGGATGGGAGGGGGCTTAGGAAGACTTGGAGAAGCTAACGTGGATGTGGTGGATGGATGCGTCTGTGCCAGAGCTTGGTTTAAACTGATGCAGGGTTGAGCCCACTGTCCACACTGAAAACTCTTTTCCCCAGTTGTTCGATCAGTAAGGTCTCCCCCACCCCATCTGCACGCAGTTATCTGCAGGATGGGGACTAGCAGAGGACGACATAAACCAGACTCACAAAAGGGTTGGAGTTGCTGCTTCAGGTTGGCTGTGTTGGTTTTCACTGCTGTGTTCTCCTAGTGGCATTCAAGGTCCATGTGCGAGGAGCGGGCTCACATCAGAGGGCCCAGGAGAACATGAGGATCTGCAGGAGGAAAGCAGTGCCTTTTTTTTTTGTCTCTCCTTTTCACCACATCGTGCATTTTTATTTGGTTGTCCGTTTCCTTTAGGATTTATGTATTTTCTGTTTGTTCCCCCCATTGCCCCCTCCCCTACATCCCGGATACTTTTCTGTTTCGTTTTCACTCATTTCCACCTCTTTCCCCCCCTTCTCCCTCCCCTTTCTTTGGATTTTCCATTTCACAGACTCCACATCACTTCTCTCGCTGTTATGACAAACCCTGGTTGGCAAACAGTAAGGCTGGCACCCCTGCCAGGGGCTACGATAATGCCGACCTCCACCTCTCGAGCGCTGAGGTAGAGTATGGCCCTCCTGGTCCTAAAGGGCAGGGACGCTCCTGCCAAAGAGATGTCCTGCTTCCTGTCCCTGTTCAAAGCTTTCCCTTCACAACAGCAGCGCTTGTGAGCACAGCTAATGCTAAGGCTGGTTGCATTTTTCATGGGTTTCTAACTCGGGTTTCAAAAAAAAAAAAAAAAGAAAAAAGTCATAATTAGCATAAAACTCTCTGTGTGAGATGCTGCCTTGCCTGCAGTCAAGTGTTAGCCTGTTTTGGAACAGCTTCAAAAGGGGCGCTAATTAGCGGTTTGTTAATTCTGTCATTTTTCCTGGCTTTGGCTGCTTGCTTTTCATATGAAAACTACATGCACGCAGTGAAATGGATTAATGATCCAAGAGATGTAAAAGAGCCGAGTTAACACTTGAAAAACCAGCTCCAGCACGTGTCCGGGATCCGCTCGCACAGAGTTTTATCAACCATGACTCCGACACTCTGCTGTAGCATGTGTGATGAGTCCTGTGTCCCCTCCCCACCGCCCTACCACTGGTGTGAGCCCCCCGCTGCTCCGGTACATATAGGAGACTGCCGCTTCTTGAGGCTTCTGCCTTCACACTGCATTTTCTGGCTTCTGAGGACTGGGGTAAGGGGGGAGGGGGCTGGAATTCGAAGCACAGATTTTGGCAATTATAACTTGCCCATCATTTGTCACATCTGAAATACTCAGTGTCCCATTGAGAGTAGCTATAGCAAAGCAGTGGTGTTTCCTGTGAGAGAGGATTGCTGATCTCGCGACAGCGTAAAGGAGGCGTTTGGAAACCATGACCCCTTGTTGTAAGAGATGACTGAGGACCAAGATGAGGTCCCAGAGTGACCTAAAGGGTGAAAGCAGTCCCTCTGCAAGCAACCCAGTGCCAGGGAGAGCTGTCTAAGCGATGTTCCCTTTTGTTAAAGTGAGCGGTGGAGGAGGCCTTAGCGCCCGGGCCAAGGTTTGCTTCGGAGGTGCAGCTTTCTGCCCTCTGCTTCCACTGCCTTCTCCGTAGCTCCAGCTTCACAAGACTTGAGAGAAATGCAAAAGCCGGAGGGGGCCAGGGGAAATCTCTTTGCCTGTTTGTGCCATGGGTTGCAGAGAGGCCCTCCCAGCACTAGGCAGCCATTTATTTTTGCAGTGACCCCAACGCAGCATTGCAATGGGATAGCTGAGTCACTCTGCCCAGCGTGGCTAGCAGTTGCCAGAATCCCCAGACCTGAGGGACTGACCGTAACACCATGGGTTGCTGCTAGTTGCCCTGCAATGACTGGATACGGCCTTAAAACCAACGCTGGGTTTATTTTAGAAACTGGAGCTGCTCTTTCCAGTTGAACTCAGGAGTCCTCTTCTTCTCCGATGTTCTGACTTTCCTGCCTTGCTTTCTTCAGTGTCCTCTTTCTGTGGTGAGAGAAATAGCAGGGGGAGAAAGCTGTGTGTGTTGTGTGTTGCTTTCCCTGCTGTTTATTTGCGGCATCTTAAAGGTCACGGAAAACACCGTAACAGGAAGAAAAGAGCAGGCAGGGTAGAAAGTGGCAGCAGCCTCTTTTGGAAGGGCTCTGTTGCACTCTGTTTTGTGGGTTTGTTCATCACAAGCGTCTTCACTGGTTACCCGGACCGTTTTAATTCTTCCGTGCATTGGAAATTGGTGGGGTGGGCATGTCTACACGTATCCTCCGAAGGGTGAAACCCTTCAGCACATAAGTTGGTATGAGATTTGGCACATTTCCACAAATGAAGACATGCAGTCGCCAAAAGAAGGTAGTCTGTAAAACAATCCTGGCTTTAGTAAATTCTGTGGGATTGATTTACACGTGCGCGCGCGCACACACACACACACATATGCACACTAAATTATATAAGGTTTTCTTTCTTTGTGCCTTTTTAGCCCCCAGGCAATACCTGTCTTTAAAGTGGACTACAAATTTCAGGTATTTTTAGCCACAGATTGACAGCGTGTCCACCTTAATGTATTGAGCACAGCAAATGAAAGGTAGTAACTGGAGATGGGTTCAATGGGAGAAATTTGCAAATTAATTGGGGAAATGAGGGAAGCTTTTATGGGCTGTCTTTAATGAACAAAGCCCTCGTTGCCATCAGTTTTCTGGGACCTGGGCATTTTTTTGGACAACAAGTGCAGTTTCTCTGTGTTTGCCTTGACCTTTAAGATGGCAGTGTTTGTATGCCAGAATCCTTTTGCCAAGGTTCAGATTTGCCATCAGTATTCACCTGTTTTCAAAGTGGGTAACAGCTAACACTGTGTCTCCATACTCTTCATTCAAAGGTGGCCCCCGCGACAGGCAGCAAGTTGAAACGACCCACTTTCCATTCTAGCCGTACTTCCCTTGCTGGCGACACCAGTAACAGTTCGTCTCCAGTTTCTACAGGTGCCAAAACCAGCCGGGCTGGTAAGTCATAGCCTAAATGTTTTCCCTCTAAGAGACTCTAAACTGAAGTCCTACTTCCCTTCACTGCCATTTCTAGCAATGAGGGACTCTTGATATGCAAGTGTAGGGCCCGCACATAAAATGTGTGATTATGCCTGCTGCTTTATTTATCCGTGTACGTGTAGCAGAGACCCTCAGCAATTGTCATGACCCTGAGGTGTTTCGTATGCATGTTGAGAAGGGTTGTCTTTAAAACTCGTATCTGAAATGATGTAGTTGTGATGGTCCAGGAAATATGTGCAAGGCAAGGATTTCCATCGGCGATATCTTCTGTTGGACCAGCTGCATGGTTGGGCTAGACTGAGATACTCTGAATGCAATCCATTCTTCTCCAGTAGGACCTAAGTCATGCATCATGGTGAAATCCTTTGTGGGGGTAGCAGGTCCAATTTTCCGATACCAAATGTTCCTGTGATTAGTAATTCTGTGCTTCAGGAGTGTCCTGGCAAAGTGTTAATCTCCAGAGGTCATCTAGTCCAGCCCCGTGCCTCAGGCAGGATCATCCCCATCCAAACCATCCCATAAAAACTATAATCTAAACTCTACGTAAGATAGCCGTCAATGCCGACACATCACAGACCTACAACAAGTTCCACCTTATGGATCCGGTGCTGGATTAAGAGGAGCCAACCACACTGTTGACTTCTCCAAAGGGTCATAGAAAATGAAGGTTGGAAGGGACCTCAGGAGGTCACATCTAGTCCAACCTCCTGCTTAAAGCAGGACCATCCCAACTAGGTCATTCCAGCCAGGGCTTTGTCAAGCCGGGCATTAAAAACCTCCGCAGATGGAGATTCCACCACGTCTCTAAGTAACCCTCTCTAAGTAACCGATAGAGGGGAGGTGATACTTCCCTCTTGAAGTGCGGCGCTGGTCAGACCGCAGTTGGAGTACTGCGTGCAATTCTGGGCGCCGCACTTCAAGAGGGATGCGGATAACCTGGAGAGGGTCCAGAGAAGGGCCACTCGTATGGTTAAGGGCCTGCAGACCAAGCCCTACGAGGAGAGACTAGAGAACCTGGACCTTTTCAGCCTCCGCAAGAGAAGGTTGAGAGGCGACCTTGTGGCTGCCTAGAAGTTCATCACGGGGACACAGAAGGGAATTGGTGAGTATTTATTCACCAAGGCGCCCCCGGGGGTTACAAGAAATAATGGCCACAAGCTAGCAGAGAGCAGATTTAGATTGGACATTAGGAAGAGCTTCTTCACAGTTCGAGTGGCCAAGGTCTGGAACGGGCTCCCAAGGGAGGTGGTGCTCTCCCCTACCCTGGGGGTCTTCAAGAGGAGGTTAGATAGGCATCTAGCTGGGGTCTTCTAGACCCAGCACTCTTTTTCCTGCCTATGCAGGGGGTCGGACTCGATGATCTATTGAGGTCCCTTCCGACCCTAACATCTATGAATCTATAACCCATTCCAGCACTTCACCACCCTCCTAGCGAGAGAGTTACTCCTAATATCCAACCTCAACTTCCCTTGCTGCAACATGAGAGTGTTGCTCCTTGTTCTGTCATCCGCCGCCATTGAGAACAGCCCAGCTCCAAGAGTTAGGAGTTACACTTTCAACCATATAAATCTCGAGTCAAGATTTCGAGGAGAGTTGTCCGCTGTCATTGTAGAGAGCGATCAACAAGACTGGAACAGTGTGTTCACGGCCCACTCTAGCAGCGCAGAGCTATTGAGTCAGCAGACGGGTACTTGGAGACTGTTGGCTCGTGGGTAGCATCCACAGTGCTCACTGGTGCCTTGATTTCATTACAGATCCCAAGAAAACAGCCAGTCGTCCCACGAGCCGCGCCGGAAGCCGGACAGGCAGCCGGGCTAGCAGTCGGCGCGGAAGTGATGCCTCCGACTTTGACCTGCTGGAAACTCAGTCAGCCTGCTCGGACACTTCAGAAAGCAGTGCGGCGGGGGGCCAAGGCAGCTCCCGACGAGGGCTGGCGAAACCTTCCAAAATCCCAACCATGTCCAAGAAAACTACCACTGCCACCCCCAAAACTCCAGGCCCCAAGAGATAATACTGTACCGACACCCCCTGCGAAAGAAATACAACCTGTGTCCAGTTTTTAACCCTGCTGCGTACAGTGGATGTATATTTATTCTAAACGGGAGAAATTATATTGTTAAAAGTGTAAAAGAATAATTGTGTTATGAAGCTGCCTTATTTGGGGGTTTTTTTGGTTCTTTTTTTGTTTTTTTTTTGTAAGTTACTATTTTCATGTGAATATTTATGTAGATAAAATTTGCCGCCTGGTTCCTCCTGTTCACAGAGGGTCCAGACAACTGAAATGTGGGGGGGGGGGGGGGAAAGCAAGCAAAAAAAAAAGAAAAAAAGAAACAAAAGAAAAGGTCAAGATGTGAAAGTGTAGAAAAAAAGAAGAAAAAAAGAAAAAAAATTATAAATAGGATTTCTGCGCGGTGCAGGGCCTGACCCTGCTGTATCTTTTAGGATTCTTTCCTAAAGGCGTCTTTGTAAACTCGACTTGCTGTCTCAGCAAGATAAATTATATTTAAGAAAAAACAAAAAAGACCTGAATCGTACAGGTTTCAAGGAACTCTTTTTTTTTTTTTTTTTTTTTGTAAATCATGGATACCTCAAATTGAGAAACATGAGGTTGAAGGGGGTGGAGGGGGGGGAGCTTCTGTTTCCATTATTTTTTAAAAGTTCTGTGATTTTACCTGAAGAAAGTGGAGTTCGAATGAATAACATTTGCACACATACCACAGCAAAAAAAAATAAATTAAAAAAAAAAAAGAGTTGGTTACAAATACTGTCCCGGCAACTAGGCTTTTAAAGAACAAATAGCGCTGGGGGGGTGGGGGGTTTGGGGGTGTACTTTCAAGCTGTCCAGGAGAGAACACTATTGTGTGACGCTGAGCTACGGTGGTGGTGGGACAAGGAGGGGGGAAGGGGGTCTGTCACTTCGTTTCAAGGGTTTTTTAGATGGGCACTTGTGGGTACCACGGAAGAGGCAGACTCGTGGTGTTACAGAACTATTTATCTGCATCTCTTTTCTTATTTATTATTTAACTGGTCATTCCACTTCCAGCCAGGCTGCGATCGAGGTGACCTCCGCTCCTAGGAGAAACCTGGACTTACACGCACAGTTGCTTGTCCTTGAAATGAGTCTCACCAGCACACTTGCTAGCAAGCCCTCTTGCTTTTTCTACGCTACTTTTTCTTGGTGATAGAACGAGACACCAACCGACCAAGTGACTGGGCAAAGGGGTGGGGGCGGGGGGAGGCTCTCTGGACTTCCTGTATTTATTAAATATTGTTCCTCTTCAGCTCTGACCATGTTGCTGTGTCATTCTCTCAATTGGTTTAATTGAGGCAGAAACCGAAGCTCTACCAATGAACTGTTTAAAACTAAGACACATTTTTGTATTAAAATTGCTTGCAGTAACAACAGCCGGTCTCGCCTCTTATTTAATCCCAGCTTTATAGGAGAGTCTGGAGTGCAGTGGGTTTGTGACACTGGGAAGGCGTGGACGGCTGTCCGGGAGTCTGACGGATGTAGCAAGAGCACCGCAAAAAAAGGTTTTCCCGAGATCTCGCTGCCCCCTTCCTTCTGCAAGGTCTGTGCTTTTGCCCGTGACGTGCCTGCTGTGTGGAGGACCCTCCCATGAGTGGTGCCCTCGCATGCAGAGCTTTACTAATCACTAGCAAGCCCTGTTACTTGGCCACAAAGTGAGCAGGGCGGGGGGGGGTTGCACAGACGGGTCACAAAGTCTTGACAAAAAAGCAGCCGTGCTGCCTGGCAGAGCACGTGGTAAGTGTGTAGCGAGGCACCAAGCCTGCAGAGTCCCCGTTTGAGAGGCAGGACCCGTTTTCCCCACCACGTTTTTCCTCCCTGAGATGCTCTTGGTTCTCATTCCTGCCGCGGTGGCATTTGAACTCGCGCTTGGCTGAGGAGAGGACAAGGAGGGGAGCAGTTGGCTCTAGGGTGGAACAACCCTAAAGTAAAGGGGGTTGAGTTACACCCACAGAAGAGGCGAAGGGCAGGACTAAGCTGCAGCCTTTTGGCTCAGCCAGGGGCTGAGGTTCGTAGGTGATCAGGGCAAGCCACTCCAGGCTGCAGGTATCAGGGGAAGGGAGATGATCGGTACCTGGTAACCTGGGGGAGACTGCCTGAGGAGGAAGTGGGGGCAGGAGGGCTCAGGGGCAGCCAGGGCAGTGTGTGCATCCAAGCAGCCAGGCCCCGCTCTGCGAAGGGCAGTAACACACCACGCCACCTCCCTGGCTGGGCGCCACCAACGCTGCCTAGTCCAGGTGCTCTTTCTTCCTGCACTTGTGTGCACCTAAGGGAGGGATGTACTTTGTCTCAGACCGACACGGCTCCCAAAAGACGTACAAAAAACTAGACCTCTTGGATGCAGCCAGCATCACGTCCTGCACGCAGCTCGGACACCCCCTGCCCTTTCGCTGCCGCGGGCGGCCTTTGGCCAAATGGGGCTTGAGCCGCCGGCCCCGGAGCAGAGCGAGCCTCTGCCCCCGGCTCCTTGCCCGAAGGCTCGAGTCGCCCTTCGCTCTTGCCGCTGACCAGCGCCTGCTCCCGGCTGCGCGCTGCCCAGCAGGACACGCCGCCCCTCCCTGCCACCGCTCCCCTGCACGAGAGGGCATGTCCTGAAATGCAGCACACCTCCGACAGCCCCCCCTTGAAACACTGACACCCCTAAACAAGTCACACCTCCGATGTGCACCCCCAGACTGTAGCTCAGACACGCGCACCAACACCCCCCCTGCACAACCCCTAGCTCAGGACGTGAGGCACACCTCCCCGCCCAAACCATGGCACACCCCCGGGGCCACACCTCCCGGGCGGGGCGG